TTAATAATACAAAATTTATAATCGAGTGAAAATTATCCAACGAAGTCTAAACGAAAGTTGTAGAGTACTTTCCCACCTTCGCATGGATATAAAGCACGTCGAAAACGGAGCTTGTACGCGAAATTTACGAATTTTTAAAAATTGTACTCGATTTTGCGAGATCTGATACGAAATCGCTGACGTGGCGCTTTCCCAGCTGTTCGATGATGATCGTTGAAGTCGCCTCGGATCGTGACACGTAGCCCCCTCGCTACGCCCAGCGTCCGGTCTCGTACGCGCAGCGTACGCCTAACGCTCCTTGGTCCAGGATAAGCCACGTCGCACCACCGAGCCTTCGCCACCTGTAATCTCTATCCGAATTACTCCCCGCGTAAGGGCCTCGGTACGCCCAGCGTACTCCGAGGCTGAGGCCAATATAAAGGAGGCGAAGCCTCTCGGATTTTTCACACCTTTCCACCTTCTTTCTCTCACTACTTTCTCTCTCTAAGTGCTATAAACCCCCTAAGCCCTAGTTAAACCCCTTAGCCCCCGAGGGAAGCTCCGAGGCTCCCGGAATCCCGAGAAAAAGAGTCTTTCGGTTTCGAAACACTGCTCCAATTAAGTTCCGATTTTCGATAAAATTCACTGTAAGTGTGCTACGCTTACGTAGTTTTTAATATAGCTTTCAAATAATTATAGGAATGTTATTAGGTCCTTAAAATAATTATTTGGGCTATTATTATAAGTTATATTGAGTGTTATTAATGCTTATATAATAATAATAATAATAATAGTCAGACTAATTAATTTGTCGCGGTTATCGTTAGACTAAACCCTAGTGGTATTGGTACTAGGTTTTATCGAAGGAAATTGTTTTGAGAGTATTGAAGCGCTGTCCGAGTGCTGAGTCACCACCTTTCAGGTGAGTGCATAGTTCTCTTTCATCTTACACATAGATACGAAGTATTTTATATAAATTACGTGCTATGCGTGCATATTATCTGAGTACTTGTTGTCTATGCTAAATGAACGATTTTATACATGTATTAAATGATTTTAAGTGTATATGTATTTTATATCTACGATAATGTTGGGGTAAACATGGGTAGATATAATAGATGGAATATGAGTTGAATGATGAGTTGAGAGGTGTTATAGACCACGAGGTGAGGGTGAGAGGTGGATGATGTGAGAAACCTTTTCCCAAATGATGGCCCCGTCATTCAGCAGAGTATGAATGACAACCACAGACTATTCTAGACAGTCAGTGGAATACTAGCAGGCTCGCAACCTGTAGGTGTTGTGAACGATGTGTTCACTCGGTGTACTCTAAACCCTGGTGATCATGCAGACTTGATGCCTAAACCTTGGTGATCATGCAGAATTGATGCCTAAACCCCGACGACTATGCAGACTTAGTGCCCGTTGTAAACCGTGGCAACGATGGACTTTGTGACGATTCCTTAGGATGATCCTTAGGAATAAATGAACGAGGAATAGTTGATTCTTAGGGTAGATCCTTAAGATTTAAGAAGATAATGGGGATGGGTAATTGGGTTGATTGTTTGATTGTTTAAACATAATAATTATATTATTGTGGGTTGAAAACCCTATGTACTCACCAGGTTTCCCAACCTGACCCACTCAGTTTATTTATATCATAGGTGTTGATATGAAGTCACATTACACTGAGAGATTTAAAGAGATGTAGATCACTAGAATAAATAAATGTAAGTTTTGTTTATGCTTATGTTTCTGTATTAACGATGACATCCCAAACGTTTTGAAATGAACAAAATACGTTTCTTCAAAAATGTTTTACTAACGTATTTATCGTATTTTTCTGGGAACAAATTCTGCAACATTTTTATTAAAAGAGGTACCCTGATTTTTATAAAGCATGAACAAAATCGGTCTTTTCTGGCCGTGAAAATGGGGATGTCACAGTTGGTATCAGAGCATTAGTTTAAGCGAACTAGGAATATGGATTTATTTGTAGACTTGAACTTAAAATGCTAAGCGATGATTGTGAGGTGTGAGCACTAGCTTAATTTAGGAATGATACCTAAATTGCTTTTATGTGCTAAATGATTTGTTATGCTATAGTTTGATCGGATCTATGGTCTGTTGCCGATCGGATCTGGAAACCTTATGTGTTTAGGATTTTAAACGTACGAATACGATATTAGAACTAGCATATAAACGTTTCGGAGTGATAAGGATGATTTAAACGTCAATCCTAAGTAAAGGTCTAGATTCACCTTATTCGGTGTATAGATCAAAATGGCAAGAACCCGTAGCAGAAACGTGAATTCAAATGGGAACCGAAACCAACCCCCAATGATTGAGCAAATACCGGTTGTGGTAGCCGCTGCTGAGCCAATAACGATGGCTGGAGTGCAAGCGATGATCTAAGTGATGTTGGATCGTCAAATGGAGTAAACCAGACGTTTGCTCTAGCAAAATCGAGAGGAAGCGACCATACAGATTGAACAACCCGAGTTGAACGAAGGGCAGACTGAGGAGGGAAACTACAGTGGGACTGTTGGTCAAGCCAACCCACCAATAGTTAGACAAAACCACCAGGATGGAGGAAATGATGGGCGTGGATGCAAGTACAAGGATTTCATGGCGTCCAAACCACCGAGTCTATCTGGAAGCCCGACGCCGGTGGAAGTCATGAACTGGATCTCTGAGATGGAGACGATGTTTGAGAGTTTCGAGTGTAGCAACAGGCAGAAGACCGCTCTCACGGTTCCCTTGTTGAAATCTAGAGTACTAAGTTGGTGGAAGCTACTAGCCGATTCGATGTCCAAAGGAGAAGCGAGCAAGATGTCATGGGAGGATTTTCTGGTGCAGTTAAAAATGCAGTACTGCTCTGAGCAGGATCTTCTGGAGATCAACAACGAGTTTTAGAATCTAAAGAAGGGAAAGATGAGTGTCATCGAGTATGCTGCAAGTTTTATAGAGAAAATGAAGCCTGTTCCTTATCTAGTTCCAACTGAGCTCTCCAAGGTCAATAAGTTTGCCCATGGATTACCAGCAGACTTTGGACCAGTGGTTAAGCAAGCAACCACTTTGAAAGGAGCCATCTGGGCAGCCAGGAATGTTGAGACCCAGATTAGGGAAAAAGATCTTGAGAGAGCTGAAGTTGGCAAGAAAAGGAAGCATGAAGGATCTTCAAAATCCAACAAAGAAAGGAAATTCTCAAAGACTGAAGAAGGAGGAGGAGGTGAAACCAAGTGGTGCGAGAAGTGTAAACAGAAGCACTTCGGGAAATGTAGCGAGGAGGTGACTTGCTATAAATGTGGAAAGACAGGGCATTACGCCAGCGTACCGGCAACAGCGGACTATGCCTAATCATAAATGATTATATGGCAGAGAGGTATAATCATATATGACTATGCATGTTTATACATATAAACCTAATCATAAATGATTATACATATATGTCTGTTCACAAACTGAGTCATCACATATGATTATAACAGTTAGTGGTAGAAAAGGTGGTGGTGACAGAGATATCGGTGGTATAAGTATCGTATGTGACAGTGGTGGGATCGACTGGTATCAGAGGTGGTGGTAGGAGTAGTGGCGTTGGCGGTTATGGTGGTGGGGGTGGTGGCGGAGGATAAAGGAATGGGTGGCGCTGTGTAATCATTTATGATTATATCAGACCTGCCGCGCCAATACGCCGGAAGGTTATTGCGGCAGATGTGAAATACGTGGCTGAGGTTGAATCTCGAGATCTCTATTTTATTTTTAATCTCAACGGAACCTGCCTCTCTCTCTCTCTCTCTATCTATATATATATATATATATATATATATATATATATATATATATATATATATATATATATATATATATATATATATGTTCAGGTTCATTTGAAACCATTCTAATTTTGTGAGACCGTTAGACCAAATCTAAAAATAATTTTAAAATGCAAAATAAATCGAAAAATTCGAAAATTCTTTTTTTAAATATTATTTTCGGAACTTGAATTAACTAAAAAACAATAAAAAAATCCCTTTTTTTTTTTTTGAAAAATACGTGAAATATTCTAAATAGAATATTAAAATGACATATTCTAAAAAATAATTTAAAATGCAAAATAAATGGAAAAATCTAAAAATTCTTTTTTTAAATATTATTTTCGGAACTTGAATTAACTAAAAAAAATAAAAATAAATAAAAAAATCCTTTTTTTTAAAATACGTGAAATATTCTAAATAGAGTATTACACTGTACATATTCTAAAAATAATTTTAAAATGCAAAATAAATGAAAAAATCAAAAAATTCTTTTTTTAAATATTATTTTCGAACTTGAATGAACTAAAAAAAATTAAAAAAATAAAAATAAAAATAAAAAAATGCGGTCTCACGGTCTCACAAAATTAAGCCGTCTCACATTAACCTAACTATATATATATATATATATATATATATATATATATATATATATATATATATATATATATATATATATATATATATATATATATATATATATATATATATATTGGTTGAAATTAAGATTTTGAAAAATGTATATACAAGATTTTAGAAATATCCAAGTTACATTTCATATTTGATTATTCCTCTTTGTTAACATTGGTCTAGTTGCACGTATGAACACTTTTGTTTGCATTATAAACTCAAGCGTGTAAGATACTTCTAAGCACAATTTTATTCATGAAATGGTGTGAACGAATAATGTTTTCTTTTTCATATAGTTTTTTTTTTTTTTTTTTTAATTTTATTTTTTTTATTTTTTTATTTTTAAGTATAAGGGATGGTAGATTTTGACATAAAAATATACCGGGATATGATGGGCGTTTGTTTAATAACTCTTAAGTGTAATACAAAAAGGAAAGATTATCTCTTATTATTATTATTATTAGAGAAAATGACAAAAATAGCTATTTACACTAATGACATTACAAAAATAGTTAAAAAATTCGAAATTACAAAATTAGCCAACGATTTCACAGATAGAGATGCCCCATCTGCGGAATGAGCATCTCATCTGCGAATGTACAAGCACCTAAAGACAGCTGTGCTTTAGGTGCTTGTACATTCGCAGGTGCTTTTAATTTTAATTTTTTTTTTAATTTTTTTTCTGTATATATAGGGGTAAAATCGCAGATGGAATAGGTCAATCTGCGATTTACTCTCACTCTATCTGCGAAATTGTGGTTTTTTTTTTGTTTTTTTGTTTTTTTTTTTTTAGTTTCACTATGAAATTAATTGGTTTGACTACGAAATCATGTTGCTATATAAAAAGTTTTGTAGATTGTTTACTTTCTCAGTCAAACCAATTCATTTCGTAGTCAAACTAAAAAAAAAATACCAAAAAAAAAAAAAATACAAAAAAAAACCACAATTTCGCAGATAGAGTGAGAGTAAATCGCAGATGGACCTATTCCATCTGCGATTTTACCTCTATATATACAGAAAAAAAAATTAAAAAAAAAATTAAAAGCACCTGCAAATGTACAAGCACCTAAAGCACAGCTATGCTTTAGGTGCTTGTACATTCGCATATGAGATGCTCATTTCGCAGATGGGGCATCTCCATCTGTGAAAACGTTGGCTAATTTTGTAATTTTGATTTTTTTTTTGCTATTTTTGTAATGCCATTAATGTAAATGACTATTTTTGTCATTTTCTCTTATTATTATTATTATTATTATTATTATTATTATTATTATTATTATTATTATTATTATTATTTGCATTTTGATGTATTTATGATACATGAAAAAACATCATAAATGGTCCCTGTGTTTTATCAGATTCTGAAGTTTAGTCCCCATGGTTTAAAAATCTAATAAATGGTCCCTGTGCTTTAAAAACTTTTTACAGATGGTCCTTATTGCTAACTCCGTTAACTTTTATCCATTAATTGAGGGCATTTTCGTCATTTCACACCACAGGGACCATTTATGATCTTTTCAGTTATTTTTTTTAAAAAAGAAAAAACTAAATATAATTATTTAATATATAAAATCTCTCTCTCTCTCTCTCTCTCTCTCTCAGAACACATATACAGACAATCAAAATCCTCTTCACCTCCTTGTGTCACACCGATGTTTACTTCTGGGAAGCCAAGGTAACTATTATTCCCTATTTTGATCTTGTAAAAACCCAAAATTAAAATCATAAATCTTTGTTTTCGAACTTTTCAGGTCAGAATGCTTTGTTTCCTCGAATTTTTGAACATGAAGCTGGAGGGTATGTTTGATCCTTGTTAAAACCGAAAAAGGGTTTCTTCTAATCTTTGATCTGAAAATAATCTAATAAGTTTTTAAACATGAACAGGGTCGTGGAGAGTGTTGGGGAAGGAGTGACTGAGCTTCAGCCCGGAGATCATGTCCTCCCCGTTTTCACCGGAGAATGCAAAGAGTGCGTCCACTGTAAATCCAAAGAGAGCAACATGTGCGACCTTTTGAGAATCAACACCGATAGAGGAGTCATGATTAACGATCAAAAATCTCGATTTTCCATCAACAGAAAACCCCTTTCCCATTTCATAGGAACTTCACCATTCAGTGAATACACCGTCGTTCATGTTGGCTGTCTCGCCAAAATCAACCCTCTTGCTCCTCTTGACAAAGTCTGCATCCTCAGTTGTGGGATCTCCACAGGTATAAAAAGAAATCATAGTATCCTCTGATTGCAGTTCAATTGGTGTTTTCTTGACCTAACTAATCTTCATGTTTTCTTCAAGTCCCTGTGTAGCTAATTAATCTTCGCCCCAATCAGATCTATGTCGCCAAGCCCCTTTCTCAGGGTGTTCTTTAAAAATGCAGAGCGTAGGATTTTATGATTGGGTCGATTTTGGCGTGAAAGAGAAGAAGAAAAGAAATTAATGACTTCTGATTCGAGTTTACTGATAAATTTCATTGGAACACCGTCATTAACAACCTTGTAGAGAAGTTGTTGTTTGGTTTGTAGGTCTTGAAAAAAACACGACTTGTGGTAGTTCTTCAATTGAACAATGGGAGTTTTGTTGATGTGTTTGAATCAGAAAAAAAAGAGGCATACGAACACAGAAGTTGGTTGTTGTTGCTTTAGAGAGAGAGAGAGAGAGAGAGAGAGAGAGAGAAGAAGAGAGAGAGAGAGAGAGATTATATATTAAATAATTATATTTAGTTTTTTCTTTTAAAAAAAATAACTGAAAAGATCATAAATGGTCCCTGTGGTGTGAAATGACGAAAATGCCCCTCAATTAACGGACAAAAGTTAACGGAGTTAGCAATAAGGACCATCTGTCAACAGTTTTGAAAGCACAGGGACCATTTATGAGATTTTTAAACCACGGGAATTAAACTTCAGAATCTGGGAAAACACATTGGACCATTTATGATGTTTTTTCATGATACATTCTTCTAAATAACTTTTTCAACATATGCCACATATATAGTTTTTGATTTATTTGTTTTCCATATGTAATTTGCTTATTAGTTTCATTTTATTTTTAATGAAAATCATTGATTTAATTAATTCAGTTCCTTCTTAAAATAAATTATAATAAATTCCATCAAATGTATGTCTCAACATATTCGTTTTCCTTTTTTATTTTCATTATTTACATAAAAGTAACTTTTTCAATTTAAACTTATTTTTACATAAATTTGTATTACTTTGTATTCATGTATATACTTATTCATTAAAGCTTTTTATAGATATAAAATTATTACTTTTTAAATTGCCTAAGGTTTACAAGCTTATATATATTTTTTTAATAAACTCATGTAATACACAGGTATCACAGCTAATAGTTTTACTAAATCTTGAGTGTTGAAATCAACTTCGTGTATTAAATGGCAATGAATCATTTTACCTTCTTTTATATATAACTCGTTATTGTATATGCCAATGATTTGTAACTTCTATATATAAGTGGTTATTATATATGCCATATGATTTGTACATTATAATTTTCTCTATACACAACAATTTGTATTTTAAAAAGTTATTTTTTACAACTCTATAAACATAAATTGTTGTGGATGAAAAAAATGATTGTGAACGAATCAATTTCCATTATGTATTTTAGTTTTTTGTTTGGAGTAGTCTAACTAAGTTTTGCGTTTGTTACCGGGGAAAAATTCAAATTTAAACAAGATGATTTTGCTTAGGCTTCAACCAACTGAATAGATGAAGCTGAATTTCATGGTTATTGTTCTTAGCCTTTCAGACATGCTAGAATAATAATAATAATAAGGGAATATGACTTATCAAGGTAATTAACTTTTCGGTATGTTCACATCTGGGTAACTATCTTTTTTTGTACATATGTAGGTAACAAACTTTTTGGAAGTGTTCACATATGACCATTATGATCTGCTATAGCAGGTTAAATCCTAGATGTGAACGCTTTCAACGAGTTTGTTACCTAGATGTGTACAAAAAAATTAGTTACCTAAATATGAGCAAAATGAAAAGTAAAAATTAAATTACATGAATGGTCCCTGTGGTTTGGGGGAATTTGTGGTTTTGGTCGCTAACTTATTTTTTAACTTAAATGGTCCCTACTGTTTATTTTTGTTGCGCGTTTGGTCCCCATCTTACCTAAAAATACTATTGTGCCCTTATTAATTTATTTTTTAATTAATTTTCTTATCTATGTATTTATTTTTTACATATTTATAAAAATTAATAGACCACACATATTTGTATGTCCTCGGAAGATCCCTACTATTTATTTTTGTAATTAATTTAATTTTTTAACTCGGATGATCCCTACTATTTAATTTTGTTACCAACTTAGTCTCTGTCTTACCTAAAAAGACTATTGTGTCCTTATTAATTTTTTTAGATTAGTTTTCTTGTTTATGTACTTATGCTTTATATGTTTAAGAAAAATTAGTAGATCTCACATATCTATATCTCCTCACCATCCCATCTTTCATCATTCTCAACTTCCATTTATTTTTCATCTTTAGTGATATCGACGTCTTCATCATCACTTCTTTTTTCGGTCCTTCAACTTCGTCGAATCAACACCACAACCAACTAAAGATGAAGAGACAGTAGGTTATGGTGTTGGTTCGTCAGAGTTGAAGTACCAAAAAAAAGACGGTGAAAACGTCGATATTACTAAAGATGGAAAAGAAATAGAGGATTGGGAGGATTAGAGATGAGATGGTGAATGGTAAGACTCAACTTAAATTTCTCAAATGTGGTTTCAGGTTTACGGTGTTGAGATACATATATGTGGGGTATATTAATTTTTTTTATAAAAAATAAATACATAAATAAGAAAATTAATTAAAAAAATTAATAAGGGAAAAATAGTATTTTTAGATAAGGCAGAGACCAAACGCGTACCAAAAATAACAGTAAGGATCATCCAAGTTAAAAAAAAAATTAATTAAAAATAAACAGTAGAGATCATCCGAGGAGATACAAATATGTGTGGTCTATTAATTTTTTTAAATATGTAACAAATAAATACATAGATAATAAAATTAATTAAAAAAAATAAATTAATAAGGGCACAATAATATTTTTAGGTAAGACTGGGACCAAACGCGCAACAAAAATAAACAGTAGAGACCATTTAAGTTAAAAAAAATAAATTAGCGACCAAAACCACAAATTCCCCCAAACCACAGGGACCATTCATGTAATTTAATTTTTAATTTTCGTTTTGTTCATATTTGGGTAATTATTTTTTTTTGTATACATCTAGGTAACAAACTTGTTGAAAGCGTTCACATCTAGGATTTAATCTGCTATAGCAGGTCGTAATGATCATATGTGAACACTTCCAAAAAGTTTGTTACGTAGATATATACAAAAAAAAAGATAGTTACCCAGATGTGAACATACCGAAAAGTCAATTACCTTAATAAGTCATATTCCCTAATGATAATAATAATAATAATAATAATAATAATAATAATACTCAGATTGAACAAGAGTAGAGAGCTACTGATTTCTGGTTGTTCATAGTGAGAGGAACCTCTTTGAGGCTGTGTATAGAGGTTTTAGGCCCACGCCAGGTTACACCATCCAAAAGCCCAACTCACTATATCACTATCAATTGGCAACTCAAAAACAATTGTCTATTGGTATATTAGGTTAAAACCGGTTGACATATTAAAAAATATTATTATTTTATTTTTAGTAGAGAAATAATATGGAATTAACCATATTGCTTGTATTGAAACAGAGAATAAAACGTATAAATTTTCTCATATATCCAATGTAAACTATACTCTACAATAAAGAAATAAAAATTCAAAAAAAGCTTACCAGATTCTATTGTTGAATTTAGGAATATATGGCATACAACAATCCTACAAACCTATAACTAAAAAAGAAGTTTACAATATAACATGAAATCGTGTGTCAAATGTCAAGCTCTTCATCACCACTAATTGCATGCTACAATTTTTTGGATTAAACCTCTTCACCTTCAAACCTTTACATGTATTTCCGTCCAACTCAATGGTTGTTTAGTACTAAAGTTCATAGAAGAGTAAAGATCAATTATGGAATCATTTTAAAAGATGACACATACTACAACCAAGGAATTGCATTTTTAAAAGAAACAAAACATAAGAATTTAGAAAGAGTATAAAAATTAAATTTTCAAACAACAGTCTGATCAAAGCAAAATAATCCAACTTGTGTTTATATATCAATTATTGAAGTTGGTAAAACATAGAGATTAAGTTTACAATTTGGAATATTACCTCCTTTGAGCATCCTCTAAATTAGATAACATGTGATATAGATAGTTGATACTTTGTTTGCCACATGAAGTTGCCAGCAATATTGATGGCACTTTGACCAGAGAAAAGTTTTTCTCATACCCGCATAGACATTGTCCAAAAAAAAAATGGGTCGTTGTAGTTTTTATACTAACTACACCTACAATTGTCCAAAATCATTGGTGTACATTTAACTATAACTAAAGATTAAAATATTAAAATGATGTGTCTAATGATTAAAACATTAAAATGCATCAAATGATTACGGCGTCATCAAAAATGGTGAAAGATTCATATCCCATAAAGAATTTAGTGAAGTTTCTTGCAACTAAATTAAAGAGCTTCTGAATCAAGGTTAAATGGTCAGATATTGAGTGACGTTGCTGTCATTCAACAAATGTAGAATTTTGATAAAATGTTGTCTGAATTTAACGACACCTCTTCAGGTCTGCAATGACCTTCTTATGGAAAAGCAATTTGGCGTAAATAAAATTAGTATTATTGGAGTAACAATTATCTTAGACATTTGTTAGTTAAACTGACCGAAGAATTGCTAAGAACATGATATAAGTAAATAACAATATTGATTTCTTATTAGAATAATAACTTAGTCCGTATCAAAGGGTGAAAAAGTTTGAGGTTGATCTTTCTTATAATCATATATGGATTTTTCTTCTTATTTTTCTTCTTAAGTAAAAGATTCTAATCCAAAGTCAATCGGTTAAATCACCATACGAGGAAATAAAATCATTGTGAAAGCAAAGATTTCATGTATGAGACACTTCTAAAAAGCTAAAATCAAACAAAAAGCAAAAGCAAACATGAAATTTGATATCAGGAATACTATGAGACGATGAAAAATTACAAAGATGCTCTAGAAAATACAGTCGAAGTTACCTCATGTAATAACCTTTGCGAGCCTTAACTAACATAGAAAAAAATAAGAACC